CCCGTAATAGGCCTTATTCGTATTCCCGGACGGCCTTGGGCGAGTGCACGATGTCGAGGCTCATGCGGGGGAATCTGTGATTTCAATATGGCTTTCGTAGGAGGGGCAGAGAGTGAAGTTCAAAAATGGAAAGTTCCTGAGTTGAAATCGTATTTACAGAGCCGTGGAATAACTGTTTCGCAAAAGAGAAAGGAGGAACTAGTAGAATTGGTGGAGAAGGCTCGCGATCTTTCACTGGAACCGATAGACGATTGGGAGAAACCGGAGGATGTGATAGTCAACAAGTTGCAGACGAAAGAAGGTTCGCTCCCCTGTCCTAACACGTTACACTCTGACTGGACTTCCGACTTTTCTGATTTTCCGAACTTCACATACGGTGATATGTACGCTTACTTAATCAATAAGGAGGGTTATGACCACGAGTCTCTCAAGGCATATAAGTCGTTCGAAGGCTACCGCCTGTTCTGGGATGGCCATGTGTTAAAATTGATGAAGAACAAGAACTTGTTCAATGGATACCACTACGTTAAATTTGGAGTAAAGCCAACGGAACGAGAGAAAACGCAAGTCGGACAGAAACCAACTTACGATGGATGGATAATAATTCAGTCAGATGGATCAGTTTACACAGCGCATTGCCCTTGTATAGGAGGGTGTGTATTCTGCTGCCTCGGCTAATATTTGGCCATCTTAAAAAATGAATTTGATTTATGTATGTGTTAAATGATAAATCCAGATTGATCTGTTCAACTGACACAATGTTGAAGTGTTAATGAAAATAATAATTTGCAGCTTTGCGAAATTTTGTACTTCGTTTCCAAATTGTTGAAGACATCTTTATACTATGCCCAAGTGTATGTGATCTCTATGGCTTTCAGAATAATTTCCTTTTATCTAGTATTCAAAACTTTGACTCTGGTCATCACAATATATCTGTTGAAACTTTTCTTAATTCCTAATTTCTTGATCAGGGCTGATGGTGCTTGCCGGCACATTGGTGCCTCGCTTATTGACCTTGAAGCTACACTGAGAGAAAATGTTGTAATAACTTGCACAGGGAGAAAGTGCACTTGGAAACAACGGAAGAGGACTCATGAGGGCATGACAAAAGGATCAGCCATGGATTTTACAAAACCCACACTGAACAAAGAGAAAAAGAAGCGACTAAAACCAAGGTGTGATACTTATGACCCCAGAACTTCATATGATACGAATGTAAATTTGGCTGAGAATTTTAGAAAGCTTGTTGCTGAAACTGTTCCTTCAGCTGTATTACTGCATCTGTTACCTGACCCAGACACATGTAATGGTCAACATCCTCAACTTGATTCAGAAAATGTAAATGACATAAGAGAGGAAAATTCAATTGTTACTACATTTACATTAGATTCTTTATCACCAATGAAACCTTTGCCACCCAGTCTGGATGAGATTAAAGAAAGGGGCAAGGCAATAAAAAGAAAACTTCAGTTTACAGATGATGAAATTGATGCAGTGGAAAAAAAGACAAAACTGCAGAGTGATGCCATTGACTGGTTTCAGTACAGAACAGGAAGAATCACCGCTTCTCATTGTAAACGTATTGCAAGCTTGAAATTAACCACATCTCCAACTAAAGCTTTAAAGGAAGTTTTGAGTTACAACCAAGTGCCTTTAACAGCTGCCATGAAGGAGGGCTTGGCAAAGGAGGATGAAATTGAACAGGCACTAATAAAATACATGAAACAGAATGGACATTCTGATATAAAAGTCGAAAAGTGTGGATTTGTCATTAGCAAGACCCATGGACATATTGGTGCCTCTCCAGATAGAATAATATATGATCAGTCTGAGTCTAGCCCAGGTGTGGTTGAGATGAAATTTCTTCAGGTGAAGTCAGGGGAAACCCTTGAAGATATTTTACTGAAACAGCATATTTGTATAAAAAGAAGCAATGGTATAGCCCTTAATAGAAATCATAAATACTTTTATCAACTACATCAACAAATGTTTGCAACAACGTATCCCTGGGGCATATTTGTTGCTTGTGGCAGGGATGGTGGTATTTATGTTGAGAAAGTGTTGTTTGATCAAGAGTTTTGGTCTCCAGTGCTAGTTAAGCTGGATTCATTTTTTGACTCGGTCATTTTACCAGAACTAGCTTTTCCAAAGGTTAAATATGGTCAGAACCGTACAGTGTTATATAGTACAGATAAATAAATATACATATAATGTAGAAACTCAACTTCCAAATATGAACCTTTCGTGACATTGAGCCTATGTAAATGCATAACTATTCCATTTATACCTAGTATAGTAGCTACTGTAAGGGGTTACATGCTCATTGTTTTTTTTTAGTTCGATCAAAAATCATATGATTTATACAGACATAAGAAAATTATTTAGACATTTACTTTGAAACAAGAGGCTTCATTAAGTTACACAGTGCTGCACATACAAACACAGTCTGATCAGCAACTGCAGCAAGGGTGATAGGTATCACACCACGTAAAATTCGGAAACACTTGAGCCGCTGGATTGCTCTTTCCACATGTATGCGAACTGCAGCTATTCTCCTGGTTTTTGTACATGCCTTTGTTGAAAGGGACTTCCCCTTTGCAAAGGGGGGAATGTTTAATGTGGCCTTTTTCTTTGTGACCATATCTCTAATATTGAATCCTCTATCAGCCATCACATCATCTAGAGGTTCCAGCTTGTCTATCAGTCCAGATTTCTGAGTTATATTTCGGTCAGAGACCCCACCAGACCAAAGTTTAGAGACAAATGTGAAGGCTCCAGTGGGTGAAATACCAACCAAGAGTTTGAAAGTGTTATGTGACTTGTAATCACTCCAAGTAATTTTCTGAGCTGAAGGTTGAGTGGACTTCTCTATAAAAAACTCTGTACAGTCAATAATTACACGGGTCCGAGGATACCTACTAAAGCTCTTAGGCATGTGCTTTTGAATTTGAACCTTTGCAGGCCATATTATAAGAACTTCCTTAAATACATGATACAAAAGATTAATCCAAGTTGTAAAAATCTTGGAAACTGAACTTTGTGAAATTGCAAAAATGTCTGCCAGGTGACTCTGTAACAGTCCAAGCCTGAGTCTTATAAGAACCATTAAAAATTCAGAAAATAATGGCATCTGCCTCTTTGGTCCCGGCTTGTTAACATGTTCATCTTCCTGTAATAAAAGTAAAAACGTGCAGTTGAGTTGCTGAAGCAAAATGTTTAGGCAATTATCACATAGTTGGAAATCATAATAACATAATATATCATGTTATAGACCCTATGCATATATTATCATTTTGTTCATATTTAAAAAAGCCTCGCTAACGTCGTTTTTGAGACAAAATTTGTAAAGAATATGTTATCCCGATCGAGGTTAGTGAGGCTATTTTGAATACGAACAAAAAAATTCAAAGGTACCCATTTTTGCATAGGGTCTATATTGCTATTTATACCAAACATGAAACATTTTATGCCATAATGTTCATCAAAACAAATGAAAGGAAATATTAACAAGACTGCTGTGTAAACATTTTATGCCATAATGTTCATCAAAACAAATGAAAGGAAATATTAACAAGACTGCTGTGTAATAATATTAAGATACCTGATACGTTTCCCTCTGTCCCTTTTTCTTGTTGTCCCAATATTTCATTGCATTTGCAAATGGTTTCAGAAAGGGAAACAACATCATAAGACAGGCATAGGAGGGCAATCCAGTGTAGAAACACACGGACTTGTTGCTTTTTAGGACGTCGTCTATAAACATTTCTCTCTTCAGTTCTGGTTTATTTTCCAGTTTAGCTTTGGCTGCTTCCATGCAGTCGATATCTTCACAGGTAAGGTCGGTTTGGATACACTTGTCTGCAAGGGATCTTGGATCAGGTGTCTGTTCAGTTTTAATCTCACACTCTTCAGAAAAAATAAAATCCATGTCGCTCGAGCACGCAGTTTCCTGCAGTTGTGATGACAGGCCCAATGGTTCCGGGTTTTCCTTGTTTTTGTCAGTTTTACCTGCTTGTCTCCTTGGTGCAGTCTTGGTTTTGTTTTGTATGCAGCTCAAAGCTCCTCGTCTCCTTTCCTCTGGATCTGTTCGCTTCCGTCGGGTTTTGGGCTGCAAATGAGTCGGGAAACTGAAAATTGTTGGGACAGGATTAAGCTTTGAGGGTCCTAAACCACCTTCGAAGTGTGCTGAACAAATTCTTGTATGTCTTGTGACATTTAAACTGCTTAAACGACAAGCAGCTATCCACCTTTTTCTTCTCTCGTTTTCATTCATTCCGGGTGCGTAAGTCTTCTTTCGGTCGCCGATAGGAAAAGTGTGAAACGTTATTCCTTTGAGTTCTGGATATTTCAGATGGTTTTTTTGTTTTTCAGTGCTGTTGGAGCAGCCATATGCACAGCAGTTATGTTTAACCATGATTTTGCCGTCAAATACTGCGAACCAAAGTGACTTTCTCCGTATTTTTCCAGCTGTGTCAAAGGGTATTTTTAATTTTCCCCCGCATGAGCCTCGCTTTCGCGCGAAACAAAACACTCGTCCCAGACCAGTCCGGGAATACGAATAAGGCCTATTAGGTTTATTTTCTGCGAAACGAACCCTCCTCAACCATTCTTTCTCCGCAGAGAACTTCATCTCTACGGAGTTGGTATTCCAAAACCGGTCTCCTCTCTCAGTTTCGTCCTCCATGCCGAAGTGCCTTAAACAGAGTTTGTTTGATGTGCTCGAGCTGTTATTATTTGCCGCCATTTTTGAATAGGCCTTTACTTTTCGTGCCAACTGCCGCTGATGATTTCTGCGCCAACGCGCCTCAGAGTTGCGGGAGGAAAACCCATGGCAACCGACCATCGTGTGTTTCGAGAAGAACATTGCTCGCGTGACATTTGCGTTACGTTTAAAAGTTTATTTAGTTTAATATTTCACTTTTTCTTTTCACTTATTGATCACATTGATTGACATTGAAATATGAGCAAGTTGATGGTTTTTAGTTAGTTTTTTACACGTG